GATTGCCTGAATGAATGTCTGGAGGTGTAGGCACCTCGGAATGATTGTGTTAAGCTAGCACTAAGTCCCTCCCCCATCCACCTTTATTCTTTTCTTTACAATAAGGCTTTCAAATAAGTCATGGCTGTACGGCAGTGAAGCATTGGTGTTGAGCACTGATGTCATGCTGTCGTTGATGATGATGATATAATCTTTTCGGTGAGATTGCTTCCAGAGCTGGCCACTTCCGTTTTTTGATTCTTTCAATCAAAATAACCTCAATTGGCTATGGCCTACTTTTGATCACTATCTTGTTGAGAACTCAGAGACAACACGATACCTCCGTGGACTGATATACATTCATATCCGAAACTGTCGTTGGAAAACTGTCGTTGAAATTGCAGGTCACGTTAAAGGGTTCTGTGTCAATGAAACTAAATTACGTGACAGACGTGGCACTTTTCAATACAGATTTTGGTGTACATGGTGATGATTTTGGGTTACGTGGATGAGCGATACCACTTGGTTAGGTTGAATTCTTTTGGGGCTGGAGTTGTCCAACTGTGGCTGCCAAACAAATCGAAGGAAGCGTGAAGGAAGCCCAGGTTTTAATGGGGCCATCCAAATGCGGGGTTGCATTTATATCAGGGACCTCAGTGTTAGTAGATTTCACCATAATCTTGTAGGGTTCCGTCAAATACTGTGACTATCGGTCAAGCAAATGTTCGTAGTTCTTAAGACGCCAGAAGATGGTTGATCCTGATGATTGTGCGACAAAGGAAAGCTGGGTGTTTAATGGGTAATGTTTTCCGCTGATACTGATGATGGAATTGGACTTCCAGTTATCTGCTTGTTCGTCTGTCCCACCTACTTTCACACGTTCACTGACCACGATTCTTTATATTTGTATGGATATTGTTTCTCGCATCAATGACGTCATGGGAATCGGCGACTAATTAAGATAAACATTCGATATAACCACATGACCTTAGTCAGTCAGCATCCGTATTATCCCCAAAATTTTCAGCACTGCCATTAGTGTATGACTTGGGGCGAGATGGCCCAAGTGGTTAGAGCGCGAATTTACTGACCAGAAGGTCCGTGGTTCGAATCCGACCTCCACCACTCGACTTCCCCTGTCTAGGCCTGGGCAACCTGGCAGTATCCCAGCCCTCGTGCTTCCTTCGGGTGGCATGGCAGCTAGGCACTGGAAATGTGCTACGGCTGAACGTATGACTTGACATCCGAGCGGTCGTATGGCAGATCCGCCTATATCCACTTTCCAGGTTTGAATTAGGGCTTATCACGAGTACACTGGAACTTTTCCCTTACCTTTTTTCCATACTTGTTAGGATGAACAGGATTGGATCGAACTGCCTGCTTCTGGAGTATACACTGCTCAGTTATTGCACACCAAGAATGGGTGGTGTTTCACTAATATCACCATGTACCCTTGGTCAAAGGAACACTTAGAAGCTTGGTCATTGTCCCAGCTGAACATTACCAAGCAGATAGGCTTTGTTTTAGCGAACGAAGAACACTTCCCATCACTCTCACTGGCAGCCAGTTTTGATTGGGCATGCGAAGAATTTCTGAAGCTCCTGTGTTCAGCCGTTCGGGATCGTGTACGGTTGGCCTCTTCAACATGCACTAATTGCAGTTTTCGGCCTCAAACACCCGAAGCTACCGGATGTGGTCATAGCAGATTTGCCGTACTCTTTTCCGGAGGCCTCGACTCGACTGTCATTGCAGCACTGTGTGATCGGTAGGTTCACGCTGGTTTGTCTATTTAATAGCATAATAGATACAGCAGTGAAGCATCGGTGTTGAACACTGATGTCATGCTGTCGATGATGATGATGCTGAGCATAATAGATCCCCCTGGTAAACAACCTTGAAGGAAATTTCTTTATCGAAACGAGCGAAGAATACCTCACCGAATGCAAGCAGAATTGTCCTTTTTAACAGTTTTCATTACATCTATGAAGTTTTTTTTATAATTGTGTTGGATAATCACATATTTTGACGATTACCATGTTCCACCTCACTTAGGTCTCAAGCTAAAGCCGTCCCAAATATTTCTCTTGTTTGGTGTTCATGTAGAAACTAAGCACCGAAGGGCGAAGGTAGTAGTGGGCTACTGAAGTAGTGCCATATCGATATCTTGAATCTCATTACAAGTTAACTGTGGAGCGCCTTTGCGTAGCAAATGAAGTCGAAGGGTTTCACACATTAGGGTCTCATCTGAGTCTTATATCAACACCTAATTCTTATGTGTTTTACTCCGCACAATAGCTCGTTTTATGTCCAACCTTGTGATTGACAAAGCGTACGGCCTGAGTCTTATACTGTCATTTTGCTTAAAAAAGTGATCCCATCGTTTCACTCGGCATGCCGCTTCTACGGTAATGCGGACGTGATAAGTACGCAATGAAAAGGTTCCTAAGCGAGTACTGGGCAATAAGTTGGAATCACTTGGGCAGCAGAGAGGGCTTGATTTGACATATGCCTGTATATCTCTCAGGCCAGCTATTGGTCGACTCTATACATGAGCTAAATGCAACCCTGTGATCTCGCTTAGATTGTGTTGGATGCGTTCTCCGTGCGATTTTTGTCGTTTAAAAGATGTTTAGCTACTGCTTCGGTTGGGCGAATACCTAGGCTGAGTGTGACTATGTATTCCTGCCTCAGTAGAAGTTACATACCACACTCGGCGCTTGTAGCGCGCCGCAATCGAATAAACACGTCTTACTCAAACTTATCCGGTATAGTTAGGTTGGCGCAATACCTTAGTAGGCAGTCCATTCCTAGGTCGACCGCTGTGTTGAGCTCGTTTGTTAATCAAATAGTCACTGACGCTTGTAATACACTTTCGATCATATGAAGAGATTAGAACGATTCTACTGAATGAAGGCGCTAAATGGTTATCTGATGTTCTTATCGTGAACCGTGAAAGGCTTTATTACGGGTAAAACACCCCGAAAATACAACGACGTCCTCCCGAATCGGTGATCTTACCAAGTCCTGGGAAAAGTGCTTTTGGAGGGCATCATTTTTTGAGGATTCTACCATACCTGGCCTAATCGATTATTGAACTAACAATTGGCAACACAGGTCGAGTGAAGGTTACCTTTCCAGTTTAGAGTCTATAAGATATAAGACAGTATCATAGGATAACGCGGGCGAGATGGCCCAAGTGGTTAGAGCGCAAGTTTACTGACCGGAAGGTCCGTGGTTCTAACCCAACCTCTGCCACTTAACTTCCCCTGTCTAGGTTTGGGCAACCTGGCAGTATCTCAACCCTCGTGTTTCCTCTGGGTGGCATGGCAGCTAGGCACCGAAAGGGTGTTACAGCTGAACGATTTCGATTTCGGATAACTCATGTATGGTTAAAAACGAGTGCAGGGCACGGGAGTCACGTGATCCTATCACTGGACACGAGTGCTCACTCCTTGTGCTGCTCAGAAACACATGCATAGTAGGTGGGATGTTGTTCCATCCAACCTCACATGTTACCATAATACATAGGCCTGATTTCGTAAACTTGTCCGTAATTGCTTTGCGACCTTGAGGTATGTGGCTTTTCTCTAGAAAAACTTACAGCGCACACGTTCGTTTCAGTTGCTTCTGAGCTTCGACAGGAAAATAGACTTTTTAAATGTGCCACTGAGCAGAACAAAGGAAGATCAGATACAACCAAGCGTTTTTCCCACACCAAAGTGAATTGACTAGTGTACACATTTCCACGCTTTTGTGCTTAACAAAACGTGGTACGCTGCCTCGTTGATAGGTCCTGGAAGGGTTTCGATGAGGTCGTAGAAATGGAGCGGGGATTCCTCATAAACATGTACCGAGGAAAGCGTGTATCATTGAGAGGCACATTAGACTCAAGCATCCAAGACCATCGATGCATGACCATTGATTCATGTGAAAAAACCTGTTAATCTGCTCCTACCTTTCTGTTATGTCTTGACGTACGGTAATGCAACTCTGTATCGGTCCCTTGGCTTCCTGCTCCGCCCACTATGTTATATCAAAAGGCACGGTAGCTCTACACAGCCCTTTATGGAGACAAAGGAAAATCATTACAACTGTATATATATAGGGTAGTCACAGAGTGTTCCACAAGGTCGTGCCAGAATGTCCGTGAGGGGGCGAGAACCGTCGAGTCAAGGGGCTTGATTCGGATTGGCTGGCATTCTGACCAATCAGGGCATGCCTACGTCTGGCCCGTGTCCTGCACGTGACCCATGCGTCCAAATGATGTGATGTTCGGTTAATAGGGACGGCTGGCCCCCGAACACTTTCGGGTTGATCTAGCTAGTGAAGTGCCGGTAAGGTGATTCAGAGAAATCTGTGAAGGAACGTTCTCTGCAGGCCCTCTGCGTGTCTTTTACAAACCGTCCACCAGCCAGAGAAGAAGTGAATACAGGTTGCTTCGTCATAACTTGTCGATATGCGTAAATCAACTTGGTTGCACCTGTTGAGCTAGCCGTTCTGATCGAAAAAGGATGGTTATCTAAACGATTGTTTAAACACCTCAACTAGCTTCTGAAAAAAAGCACATGCACGTCAGATCCGTTTTTGTCCGCTTACTGGGAACGGGACAACACGTGAACCCATCATCAGCTTCTGTCTGTACCCACCGACAAACTTGATGGAATCACTATTCTTTGATATATTGTGTACGGGTAAAAGACTGAACTGAACTCTCTTAGTTGTCAAATTAAATTGGACTATTCACTTCGTCACGTGTTCTGGGAACCTGACGCCAACGTATGTAGTTTCCATAGTAGCTGCCGGAAGATCCGGTATGGTGTACATACTATTTTGAGTACATCCTCTATAAGAGCCTGTAATGTGAAACGGCTACAACTTTCCTTCATCCCATACAGAAATTAGTATCAGATTAAGAGGTCAGGTTTTCAAAAGTCACGAATCTTCACGGCACAATGTGGGGAACTAGACGAAGTTTTCGTGCTGGTAACTGATGAAGGAGACCTAAAACTGACAACCATTGGACTCTGAAGGCCTGCAATTCAGGTTCCCTTGAGTGTTCTTTGGGTTTGGGCTTCATTCCATGTGCGTAGATTTGTTCTTGAAAGCGTCCAAAATTTAGTTCCTAATTTGCAGTTCCCTGTTGCAGCAGCTGACTAAGCATTAAAACGTAGCTACTGACGGTTAGTTAGTAGTGATAAGTAGCCATCGACTAGGATTTCGCACCGCTCGCTGTGCCGGATGTCCGGTCAATGAGCATTTGTGAGAAACGAAAACCGTTTAACTTGGATCCCCTAATCGAGGCAAACAAATAACTTAGCAGTTTCGTATTCCACAGACGTTACTCTGAGGTCCATCCTATTTTCATTTAATTCTAGAGAATATTCATCTTTCAGTCTTCATATGGCAAAATCTTACGGGGACAAAAGTGGTTGATACGACAGCGATGATCTGTTATAGACAACTGTTTAAGTCACTCGCCTTCATCTTTGTATTTATTTCCCCAGTTATCCTGTGAACGTTTAGCTGAGAAGTCATAAAACTTTTTTCACTTCTTCTACTGTGTTCTGAGCAAACTGGTTCTGTGACTCAATTACTTAAATTTTGTTTTCCCAGTTGGTGAGGATAAGAGCAAACTGGTTCTGTGACTCAATTACTTGTTTTCCCAGTTGGTGAGGATATGATTACACAGATTTGGTTTGTTGCACTCTTTTGCCAGATTCATCCCTTCAGATCAGCCAATTGATCTTATCAACGTGGCGTTCGAGCAGTCCGCTCCTAATGTGTCATCTAAGATCACGTAAGTTACGATTGATTTCTTGATGAAAGGACAGCTTTCAATAATAACCATGAAGTCGAATGCGATATATTGTTGCCATTTATTTTGCCCCTTTCTGTTTCAGCAATTCCTCCACCTGTCAGAAAGGTTTTGCCTTCGATGCTCCTGATCGCCAGACAGCGTGGCAAAGTTTTCGTGAACTTTGCAGTCTGAGTCCCACTCGCAACTGGCAGCTCGTACTAGTAGGTAAACGGTCATATGGTGTGTGTTTACCTTCAATCCCAGTTTCCTTTCTCGTTTTCGTGGAAGCACTAAGTGTCTAGTTTCAATATAGAGGTTTTACATATTGGCGGTCAGCGTATTCTGTGATGCTCGTACTATTCGTCTAGACTTTTTCTGATGTGCATGGAACAATAGTTTTGTATACGCATTCTATAAGCATCCATTTTGGGGACTTGTAGGATGGCACTGTCGTCTTTTGAAGAAGAATCCTTCTTTATATTCAGCAACACTCGTGGTCAGGCTAATATTACTCTCTGATCCTTCAACAATGCTCTTTGATGAGTACAACTGTGATTAGATATACTGCATCGTTGCATAGTTGCTTGGTTACTTTAAACCTTTCCTCGTCATCATGAGGGATCTTGTCGATACCACCCTTTCGTGCGTAATAAATTATATTTTGAGGCCTCATTCACACTAATAATCTTTCTGATAAGGAAGCGTTACTTGAAACGCCTGGCCCCTCACTAGGGGTACCTGTTTTCAAGACTGGGACAGAGGCTCTACACTTAGTCAGAACTGACTGCGAGAACCGTTTTAAGCCATCATGTCAAGTGGCCCGCCTTGTGGATTACTTTATCTTCAGAATTACGGTAAATTCGTAGTGCCCACGTGCCGATAAGCCAGACGAAAATCCTTTCACTTTGCACAAGTCTTACACAGGGGTACGGTCGACGGTTGCATTGTGTTGTGTTTGTGGTAACAATTGTTGGACAAAAATTAACATGACTGACCCCACCTCATATTCATCGGATAAACTCAGGATGAGCGTGTTTCTTGGACTGAATACCTTCTAACTCGACAACTGTACAATTCTAACTGCAAGAACAAGAGCTGTTTGCCCAAGTTGAAGGGTTAGTGCTTAAATGGTTCGACCATGTCATCCAAATGACATCATTTTGTTCTCATTACGAGTGGACGTTCCCAGACTGTCTTTTAAAACAATAAAAGTCACTGATCACGTCATTTTCGAGTCATTGAAGGGTTGTTGTATGGGTGCGAGACATGGCCTCTGTGGACAGATGATGTGAGACGTCTTCAGGTTTTTGACCACCGATACCCCAGAAGCGTGGCTGGTTTTGGATGATATCAGGGAGTTAGTAATAAGGGGATTAGAAAACGGGTATTTGGTTGTGCTGCAGGCACTTCAATCCGAGAAAACATCCAGTATCATCGGATACGATGGCTCGGTCATGTTCTACGCATGCCGAAACAAAGTCCACCAAGACGAGTGTTGTTCCCCGTGCCCTCTTCAGGATGGCGTAAACCGCGTGATGGACAGCAGAAAGGCGTGAAAGAGATCACGAAGAGTTCGGGTGATATTGGTGTTGTACGCCTTCCAGGATGGGGTCTCCGTGATCCCGTCTGTGCTTGGCTGGAGACGTTGCAAGAAATGGCGGCTCACCGATGTCAGTGGCGTTCGTGTTGTCAGTTACTTTCCAGATTGTCTGATTGAGCGGTTGGAGGTGTAGGCACCTCGGAATGCTCGACATAGGCCAGCACTAGGTCCCCTCCCTCACCCACTCTTTTTCTCTTGTTTTCACTCTAGAGCTTTTAATA